GCATCGTGAAGGCCGCGTCACAAGGGATGGTCGACGGAGACGGTTGCTCGTTTCTTCTCAATGTTGTTGGCGACAAATCTTCGGTGTTGCTTGCACCAGCATCACATCATAGTGCATTGAAGTGCATTGCTGAAGCCCCCCAGGTAGGTGGGTATGCTCGGTTGTCAAAACCTATGGCAATGACTCGATGCCGGCTCAGTGTGGTGGACGTGATGTTGAGAATTTGAATGGAGGAGGAGGAGAACGTGGGGTGGGGGGAGTACCTGGTGGTCACTCGCAAATGCAACAATGATGAACTGCGCTGTCGCCAGGCCAGTGCATGCGTACCAGCTTCGAAACTGTCATCTGCCTTTGCCGCGCGGACTTCCTCGTGAGCCACCCAAGTGAGCCACATTACCACCTGGCCATGCTGCTTTCGCGTGGATGTCGCCTAGGTAGGCGAAGTTGATGAGACGTTGAAGCTGCGCGCCATCTTCTCCTCCAGGCTTGACGCCGCACCCTCCGCAGCAGCAGCAGAAGACCAGAAGCGTCGGACCGGACGAGCAACCTATTTGAGCGCCTTCTCTCAACAGTCGACCTTGGAAAGGTTTCACGTGAAGTAGTGTTTGACCCCTCTCTGCTGCTTCAGGATGCGTACTCAATCGTTCGTAGCAGGAAGAATGCAGATACGTGATCTTCTGGGATCCCCTATTTTTGCAACATTCCCCTAGTGGTAATTAGACCCGGCTTTTTTAGAGACTTCCTCAATAATGCCCAGAGTGAAACTTGGAAATGCTTCACTCTGAGCACCAACCACGGTGACTTGGAAGTCTCGTGCCGGCCACATCGCTGGTGGGTGAGTTTGCCTGCCTCAAATCGCTGTGAGGGTGTGCTGGTGAAGGCTCGTGTTAAATCTGTCCCTAAAATTAGCTTCACAAGGAGAAGAAACATCGCTGACAGTATTTATGCACTCGGGCGCACGAGCAAGCTGGACAGAGAGTCGTCCCACGGACGTCCAGGTGCTCGCGAAGCAACGCCGCCGCCGCC